TCACTTAATATATAAAGTGGGGCATGTTACGACGATTGAATTACACGCACGGAGGAGTCGAGGTGATGTGCTGTGCAAGACGCGGACGCAGCCAGGCCAAGTCCATTTCTCGCGTGTCCTCAATTGCCCTCTGTGGCCTCACGTTTCACCTCGCCGGGCTTGGCTCTGACACTCTGGGCCCGTCTGCCCACGACGCCCGACACGACAGGGCGCGCGTTCGCACGTGCGGATGACAGCAGATCGGCACCGCGTCCGCGCACCGACGACGGTGCCTTCGCCTCGTGCGAGCCCTCCACGCGATTGCCGCCGGTGATGAGAACGTGGGAGGGGGGCAAAAACTCCAAGCACCCCTGCATTATTGTTGTTGTTGTTGTGGCTCCACGAGCCGTGGGCACGTGCATTGAGCTGGCACGTGCTGCGAACTGCCTGTGGGTCAGTGCTGCGGCCACTGCGAGCGTCTCTCCAGCACCCCTGAATGTGGACGACGCACGGGAGTCGGTGATCTTTTCGTGCCCTTCTCTCTGACCCCGGCTCCTCTCCACATCCACGAGCCAGCGACACACGCGGGTCAGGCGCGCTGGAGACAGCGTGCCGTGTACGAGGTCAGATGACCTCTGGGGTTGTTTCCTGCCGACGCCGCTGTTGCTGCTGCTGGTGCTGGTGGTCACCATCTGTCGTCCTGACTTGTTACCTGGAGCTGCAAGGATTCGACCCGAAAGAAAAGCCTCGGATTCATTGTCTCGCGGTTGCAGTGTTCAGGCAGCATGCGCGTGGGTGTGAAGTCCAATTCGTCACTCTCGTTGCGGCAGCAATACGCGCACACCTTGAATGGCTGTTCACGAATCGAGTGTGTGAACTGTGCACCATTTAGGCTACGGTACAACAACCACCTACAACATAGTCGAGCACAAAAACATCTCGTGATTTTAGAATTACAGTTCTACTGCAAGGGCCCACATTACACGATTCCCTATTGAGACCATTAAACAATGATTTCATGAACACCAAGGGCTCGGATTGCCTTCTTGCTTATAATATGTCGATGTCTCTGTAGACGTACCGTACACATATACAGATCGATTTACAGCTAAGTTCTCACCTCTTTTATCCATCGCTTCACAATCTCCTTTCCAAGTGACTTTTTCAATTGTGCTCCGTTGTTTTCATACGAATCACGTGTAGTTGGATGTCAGTCGGTGGTGACGTCTTGCAGGGTTTTACACAAGCAGGTGTCCTAAAGTGTGAGCTTGTGACCAGGAGAATACGGCACTGGATAAAGTTTTGTTGTTGTGCACTTCTGACCTTGCTCTTGGCAAGGGCAGCATTTGCTCAGGCCTCCACTTGACATGTGCAAACAGCCACCCCGCTGTGTTAAGCTCCTCGCGAATCAAGCTGCAGTCAGTGGAGCCTATCCAGAGATTAAGAGCTAGGAGCTCAGTATAAACACTTGTTCGGTGCAAAGTGGTACCGTTATGTAGTATATGACATAGTTAATGTATTCGGAGAAATCGCATGCACCAATTAACTCACGCATATCAGCTGCCCCTCTTAATCCATGTTATCACTGAGAAATAATAGGATTTCCCTTGATAATAGACTTTCTATCTCAGTGGGCTCTCACCTTATTATAAATGATAACCATTATTTTGTGAAGGCTATGGGCATATGAAGATGTTATTTTCACACGTGAACTATGCACTACTGGATGAAGGCCTTGTCAAGCTTTCGCCATCTCTCACAGTGTAGCTCCTGCCCACAAGCTCTTAGACGTTTTTTTCCAATTTTACTTCATTTCTTCCTTCCTTCAAGGCACCCTATCAGTCTCATTCTTTGTGCTTATTTTCACACTCCATTTTCTTCAATGTCCATGTTTTGATCTATGTGCCACTGCATGTAACATTAACTGATGTGAAAGTACTTAATTAGGCAAATCAGTATATTGCTTTTCAGTCTTTGAAACGAACGCCATACTTCTCTAGCTTGCCCCTTTATTTAAATAATGTTGTCCTAGTCTGCCTTCAATAACTGCCCTAGGTATAACACTCTGATGTGCATATTAAAAGGGGAGTTAATAGAATGGGCATCAGACAAGGAGACACATTTTCGACAAAGGTATTCACATCAAAGAGAAAACGTGAAATGTTTATTGATATATTAATAATATATATAATTTAAAAGAAGGCAGATTTTCTAATCAATGGAAGTGAACTACAAAATATTATTGAATAACTTAATAAATAAGGCTGGATAGCTAGGGTCCAGATAAATATGAGAATGACAAAAGTCATGCACGACAAATTTGCTAAACAATTGAAAATACATAACTCCTCTTAAACACGCTGATATGGGGGACCAATATTGTCGATCCTATTCTCTGCGGGGTAATCTGCGATCTTACCCCTCTTAGCAGCAGAGTAAAAACTTCACGGATAACCCACAGATAAGATAATTAATCGCGCAACTCCTCTTATCTGCAAACAATCACGAATATTTGAAAGCATCCTTGCTATGCATGATGGGTGAAATTATGGTTAATCATGGATAATAGGAAGAAACAGGGCCATCGGAAAATAGAGTTTTCAAGGATCCTACACCTGCCAGGGAGTCGTGTGTATTAGGGTTGTGGATAAGAAGAGTTCTTAATACGTTGGAGGGACAAACTGGAATTTGGTTGTAATATACCAAGAGGTGACGTATTTGTGTGTTGATTTAATGTGGTACACGTTCAGAAAACAAGTCGATTTGAAAAACAAAGTCTCCATTGTTAAGAGACATTTAATATACAATCACGTAAAATAGCAAGGTGCAGCCCTGCAATTGCCTCGACTGGAGGGAGCTCTCGAGGAAAACTATATAGGGTATTTTTATTCGCTCTTCAACACAGGCCAGACTATTGGAAGATGTGGGAATACCCATACTTTACCCTACCATGCGCGATCTGCTGATCGGCAAACTGTAGCGAACCCTTTCTACTGATGGGTCGAAAGAGGCAGGACGGAGGGTGCAGTGTGCTAACCAGTATGATACATGAACATCCCTGTATGTTTGTAAAAATCTGCACGTACAGACCAGCTTTCCACTTAGGAACATTGCTCATTAATAATGACGTATACGCATCCAGGATGATAATGACGTAAACTCCGAAACTTTCCAGAGGTACTTAGGCCATGTTATCAACTAAAATAGCCTGGCTAAATTCCCTGCACAAAGAAGGTAAACGAATGTATTCAGTCAATTGCAGAACAAAACGTTTATCAAGTTTATTACTATTACCTTTTCAATTCTGATTTCAAATTGCTCTGCTTTGGAGATTAATGTTTTTGCTTTTAACAACCTGTTTAAAGATGCCTTTCAAACGATGACGAGCGCGGCCTTTAAGCCGAACATATGCCTCATGGTGAACGATGAACACAAACCTAAAAGGGCTCCATACAAAAATGTGCATTAATTTAAACAATTTTGCAACCTTTACCTACTTAGGGCCATTCTTTGTTACGCTACTTGAAGTCTCCAATGGTTTGTAAATAACTACTGCAATGTATTTAATTTAGTAATCTGCTGCCTGCAAATTTACTTCCTGCAAATACAAGTCCCATTCTCCCTGGGACCAATTTGGGCTGAAGTGGAAAATTGTTGCTTCATAAGATTACAAGAAAATGTAACAACATACTGTACTATCCGAAAAGATGCTGCATTTACGGTCTCTTTCTTTCATATGGCCAATTTACAGTGAAGTGGCATTCCACATGGCATATGGGAGTAAAAGTCTGACAAAGAGAAAAGCCGAGAGTGGTGCATCGTTTGTTTTTGAGAACATAATAGCTGATTTAATCTCCGGTGGAGGACAATGGGTTAATGGCAAGAATGCAGAGAGCTTGTAACGGGGTCAGTTGCTTGTTTGTAACGATGTTTTTTCCCATCCTGTTTTCCTTAAGGATATTTGTATGTGCATCAATGCACTGTGTGTTAACTGATATTGTTTTAATTGGCCATTAAAATAATCTCGGCAAAATGTTGTTTGGAACGAAACAACATTTACAGTGGTTACATTTCTTTTGCCATTCTTGGATTCGGTTTGAAGGTTATCTCAGAAAAGGGATGCATGTCTTATGTCTCGATAGAATGATTTCGATGAGGAAGCTATTGACGGAGAGTAAACGTTCGTACAAGTGACAGCTGTTGTTGTGGTTTTCAAAAACCGTTGTTTGCGAACTCGTTACGTTTGCAAGAATGTTAGTGACATAATTCATAGCTGTTGAGTGGCAGAAACTGCGAATACCAGAATAAGGAACGATATTCATACAGCATTTTAGTGATTTTACAAAGTCAAGTCTTGTTCTTTTTTTACAAGAAAAACTAACTAAATGTAGTGTATGCCGGTACAGTATTTGTGTGCATGTTAAATATGCAAACATGTTCGTTCTCTGCGTGCCAATGTCACTTTGGAGAAACGGCCACACCATACAGAGTTATAAGGTTTTAATCATTTATGTCGCCATCATCATGATCATCAAACTGCAGAATACAGTTCAGACAGTGGGTTCCTATCCAGTTTTTTTCTCTCTTTCTCTGTGTAACATATCAAAAGAACTGCACGTGTGGCCATTGTGTCGTATTTAAGGCTTGCGCGCCAATGTTTCTTCTCGGATGATGGTGGTGGTGGTGGGTCTCTCTCATTGGTAAGAGAAGCGAATCTTCTTGGTTCTTTCGGTAAAGTTACGTAGAAGAAAAATAATAAAATAATGCAAATAAAACATAATAAAATAATTCTCACGACGTTTCGCCAACAACGCAAGCAGCCGTCCTCAGGTGCAGTCACGAAAGCTTTAAATCGAAATTTAAGAGAAGCCAATTCATCCCGCAGATGGCATCACTGCACTGGCGCCACGTGGCCGACAGGGGCCACGGCGGAGGTGCCGCGTCCGTCGGAGTGCGAGTGGGCCGCGTCTTCTCTTCCAGTTCCGTCTCCGTGCTGGTTGTTTGTGGTGGTGGTGGTGGTGGTGGTTGGTGGTGGTGGTGGTTGGTGGTGGTGGTGGTTGGTGGTGGTGGGGACAAAACAGAAAAACCCGGCGAGGTTCCGCCACCCGAGGGGGTCTCCGCCGTCACCGCCACGACCACCGACGGTGACTGCGCCACTTGCCCTGAAGAGCGACTTGGCAATGCACACAGTTCCGGTTACTGTGTAAATCCATTTAACATATATACACACAGCAACACACAGTACAACAACAACCAGAAGTACCGTCGTCGTTCGACTCGGTGAGATCGCGGTAGGTATTTATCCTGGCTTTAAATCCACGCATTTGACGGCGATTGCCACACGCACTGCCCCCACGTGCTCTTCACTGTGGTTGAATCAACAACAACGACGACGTGTACACACGGAAAACTGTTCATGTGGTTTTCTTCTTACACAAACTTACGTCCCACTTAGAGGTGTCTACGTTTAATTCCAGTACGAGCCCGATTGCCTTTTAGCCGGTTCACTTTCACGAGACTCGCCACCCGCATGGCCTCGAGATGTGATCACCCTCGCCTGGTACGCAGGAGGTCGTGGGTTCGATCCTGACCCTGGTGCCTGATGTATATTCATTCCTATCAACCCATACGGCTTACCGCGTATTCTTTGTGCAGGGAAATTGAGTTGTCAGGTCCATACGGTGGAAAGCCGTTTCAATACGAAAAAATATATATAGTGTTTCTCCCTTGTGATGGGACTTTGTAGGATGAACTTTGAGATTTATAAGGGAACCGGGGTGACCAATAAAGTTTGAATTGGGCCGTAATAAGGTAGCCACTGATAAGGGGTTGACAGGTTTGTATATTTGAAGCTTGCGGTGTCCAATTCCCTTGTGGTCGTGTGGATTTTTCTCCGGGTCCTCCGGTTTTTTCCCCCTACGTTAAGAAACAACACTGCGTTTAGAGTATTTTGCTGCTATAATTTTCAACGTGATAAGCCACTTCGTTGAGCTATCATTTGTATCCAGATCGCTTCTGAAAAAGAGCTATGCTGTAAATGGCTGAGTTGGCCTTAGCTGGTAAAATAATAGTATGTGACCCCGTGCCTTGGCACCTGTGCTAACCACCAGCATAACCTTGTGACCCCGTGCCTTGGCACCTGTGCTAACCACAAGCATGACCTTGTGACCCCGTGCCTTGGCACCTGTGAAAACCAGCATGGTCGTATGACCCATGCCCAAGCACCCGTGCTGACCACCAGCATGACCTTGTGACCCCGTGCCGTAGCACCTGTGCTAACCACCAGCATGACCTTGTGACCCATGCCCAAGCACCCGTGCTGACCATCACCATGGCCTTGTGACCCTGTGCCCTGGCATCCGTGCTGACCACCAGCATGGCGGCTGCTGGTGTCCCCTGCCCGTTCTGACATTTTACATTTTTTATTTCGTACGATGGGCAAAGCTTATAATGGGATGTCTTATATGGTGATCCACTCCGTAGCTTCCTGAGATGCTAAATGGGGAAATGAAGCACCTCCCACGAAAGGCGGTTTGATGCGATACGTTCCTCGGTCTGGGACTCATGACCACAGTCGCGCTTGGGGTCACATGCCTCCCATATTCCACTTGTCAAGCGGTGTGGCTGCATCGCAGCCCGTGGCCTGTTGTGTAGGTTGGGTGCCACCCACTGTCTTCGAGGGAGGTCGAAGCCAGGGACTTGCTGTTGGGTTCGTGATGTGGTGTGTTGGTTCTTTACGTTTTACATTTTTCATTGAAAATGGCGTTTTTGTATGCGCTTAATTGTGAATACGATTTAGACCACTTTCTGATTCTACAGCACTGCCACTGGCATGTCAGGATAGGGATGTCACCGTCATCACTGTCGTCCGTGATCTATCCACTGCTGGATGAACGTTTATGCATGACAACAGTTATCAAAATAATGACATTTGTTTACCCAGGAAACTCACTGAGTCTTTTGATCCTTTCAGGTATTGGAGTAGGTGGCGATTGTTGCTTTGTAGATTTCAACTGGGTAATGAGTGAGTGTGATGTAAATGTAGGTAAAAGGTGCAAATATGAGGAGATTAGAAAGGCATGGGAGTGAGGAATGACAGAGGTGAGCGTTCTATAGACTGTGACATGGCCAAGTGGTAAATAAGTTTGTCGCTTGCAGTGTTTTGCGGTGGTTAATGTATTAACACACCGTCTGCTTCACAGTGGACGTCAAAGATCCCTTGAATGTATTCGAAAAAGAATGGGCCATGTGTGCCAGCATCACGGTCCAAGTTTGAAAAAAATATTCCACAAATTACTCACTTGGGCTAAAACAGAAACATTGCCCTCAACTGCATTATTTTAGCTGTGCACGATAACAATGATGCGAACGCCAAATGTAATTATTTGATTACTTGAATCAAACTTCACAGCCATGGTTACAACCGGTCCATAATTATCAACGGCAGTGTAGATTTCAAATGCAAAACTTATTTGAACTTCATATTTACTGTTTGCAAGGTTGTGTGACTTGACACCATTGTCCCAACACCTATTTTCGAGCATATTCGATTGAAGTGTTATACAACATATTCATGCCTTATCCCTGCACACCTCACACTTGACCATGGTGGCGTTATTATCTCGTGTCAAATTCACTTTTTAAATGTTAGATTTTTTGTGTGTTCCATGCGTTGTTCAGTATGATGTCTTGACATTTTTCTCCACGTCCTAGGAGCTTCTTCGTCACGTGGAGGGAAACTGACGTTGGCACGTAACCCGAAAACACATCAAATAGCTATACTGTAGAACCGTGTTGTTTGTTCACTCATTTGGGAGGGCAGCCACTTTCACCCCTAAATATATCAGTGTGAGGGCCACCACACATTTGATACCATTGGGTTTGACAGCACGATGGGGGTTGTGTATTGCCGGAGGCCGCACGTCATGAGCCGCACTAGAGGCCATGAGGAGCCGCCAGTGGCCCGCGGGCCTTACCATGAAAAACACTGCTGAAGAGCACGATTGCGAAAGCCTACGCGGGAGGTGACCGAGTTCTGACTTCTGGCTAATTGCTTTGCAGGCATGAGGGCCGTGGTCCTGGCTGCGGGCTACGGCACGAGACTGGAGCGGGACGTCCGCGCGGACGTCACTGGTGTATACTCCCACTTGCTCGGCTGCCCCAAGCCTCTACTGCCAGTGGGGGCCCTGCCCCTAGCCTCCCACTGGATGCGGGCACTGGGGGAGGTCAACGCACGTGGCCGCCATATCGAGCACGTCTACGTGGTGGTCAGTGCACCCTCCTGCGGGCCCCCCTGAGCAGGTTTTAATTCTGCCGCTCTTCTGCGTGAATTTCCAGCAGACATGCAAACAACGTAGCACTGATGTTCATGCACATTATTAGTGTCGCCATCAACAACTCAACAAATTCGAGCAAAGCAACGACAAAAATTTTAATGCAAGCAGAATAGTTCTTCGTGTGCCGAACATCTGTAATCTTGTATTGCATTGTCTGTGTACATCACACATGCGTAAGCTCTTGCATGCTTTCTTGCGCATCAAGTTAATGAACATACATTCTTTCTACTACAGTACTTGATATCTTCGGATGCTTCTGTTAATGTTTGTTGCTTATTCTTTTCCCTAAACGTGAATTGATATTAAATTTTAATTTACTTATCTCGACTTACTGTGTGGCACTTTCTAACTCATATTCAACTGATTGCACAAATAATACATGATTGCGTATTCTCAAGATGCATGCATATCATTGATTGTTGCATAAAGTTGTGATCCTGAATCGTGACAATTCATGGAATCACGATGGGGGAAGAGTGAATCATTGCATGCCTATATTTTAAAGCAGTGTTCCTTCTGCAGACCAAAGGGGACAGCCAGAATATGTTTTAAGGCAGCGAGAGCTTTGTGGGTAGCTGACATTTGGAGACAATTGATATATGAACATATTATTAGGTAGCCTTCTGAGTATTTTTTAGTCGTACATTTACCGTTATCCATTAAATCATTGCGCGCGAACATGGCTTCCTATAGCCCACATAGTTTCCTGTGGCCTGGAGCTGATGCTGCGATTGTGACTAAAGGCTCTCGTTTGTGTGTGCAGACGAATGAGCTCTTCCATGCTAAGTTTAAGGCGTGGGCACAAGATTACGGTTCTTTCGTGACCGTTGTAAATGATGGCACCACTCAAAATGAGGTGAGGATCCCTGTCATTATGTGTTCTATGGCCCCTCATCGAGTCCCTTATATTCTGCACCTTTAAGTGTAGCAAAATGTTACAAGTTTATCATTCACAACTGAAAATCAGTTTCCATGCAACTCTTTGAAGTGATATTTGTAGCAGGTCCAGTTTTCATTCATCTTATAAAGAGTTCAACCAATCTTATTATGGAGCTTTCGTGACTGCAGGAATTATTCTTTGGTTCTTTCGGTTAAGTCACGTCTAAAGATAAAATAATAAATTAAAATAAAAGCATATTACGACGTTTCGATTGCAACACAAGCAATCATCATCAGGCAAAAAAAGAAATAGCAACAAAAAATCTAACTAGAAAACTATAGACAGACATACAAGCAGACTGCTTGTATGTCTGTCTATAGTTTGCTTGTATGTCTGTCTATAGTTTTCTAGTTAGATTTTTTGTTGCTATTTCTTTTTTTTGCCTGATGATGATTGCTTGTGTTGCAATCGAAACGTCGTAATATGCTTTTATTTTAATTTATTATTTTATCTTTAGACGTGACTTAACCGAAAGAACCAAAGAATAAGAGTTCAACCATTTTATAATAATTTTCATTTTTAAGGTGAATTTCGTCCTTAGATTAGTCCTTGTTTTGGGATAACTTACTCATCTTCCTTGTTATTTTGCGTATAAGCACAATATCAAGGGATATCAGTTCTCAGTAATAACATTATAATGTTCTTAATTATAGCCACTAGCATATACACAAATTAACCTCTCATACATAAATTATAATCTGCTCTTAACCCTTTCCCATTCCGAAACGTCTACAAGTTGCGGTGTCGCTGAATCTCAGAACGCGCGTAGTGGATACCGTTCATTTTATTTAGAGAGGCATAGCACCTAAAGCTTTCGTGACTGCAGGAATTCATATTCTTGGGTCTTTCGGTAAAGTCACGTAGATAGATTCAAAGAAAATAACAAAAAACTACGACGTTTCGATCGCAACACAAGCGGCCGTGGCTGATCATTGTTTTAAAGCGGTGGGCTCACACGAAATTGATTTCTCCAAGATGAAGGTACTTTGCAAGCCCATTGGCTATCAACAAAGATCGTTCATGAAGTCATCCATATATATAGACACAGACACAATTTTAACCGAGATAATAGGTACAAACTGAGCAATCATTGGAAGGATATTATCAACCAGTTTAAGTCATAATTGGCTATGATGTTTCCATCGTACCACCTTCCGATGTTAGTTGTGCTTTACGCCCATCCGCCATTAACATGCTAATCTCTCATTAACATGCTAATTTTCACCTGGCAGCCCTTTGATTGGTGGAAAACCAACCACCGGCGGGTTGGGCTGCCCACCACTTACATTATCATTGGCTGCTGACATTTGGGCTATGCCCATTTCAAACCCATTATAAGCAGTTTGCCTTGGAAGCTAACCCCCCTTTTCCTGAAGATGACCGCTTGTGTTGCGATCAAAACGTCGTAGTTTTTTGTTATTTTCTTTAAACCTATCTACGTGACTTTACGGAAAGACCCAAGAATTGGCATAGCACCGTTGTTTTTAAAGACATTGTATTCACTGCAGAGAACTGTAGCGACACGACCGCACTCTACGATAGCTGGCGCCAAACTGTGCCACACGCCCTCCCTCAAGGCCTTGTGGGAGCCTCGGTACCGATAAAGTTATTTTATTGGGAAAGGGTTAAAATTATCACTTGCATTAGCATTACAACTTGAACACAATAATAGTTTCATCCTCCTCTTCACTGGTGTGTCCTCAGGAGCGGCTGGGGGCCATCGCTTGCCTCCAGCTGGTTGTTGAGCAGTGTGGCCTGCAAGAAGACCACACCATCGTCATAGGGGGGTGAGCACATGCAGCCGAGCCTCTAAAGCAGGGGTCGGGAACCTTTTTGACTGGGAGAGCCATAAAAGCCAAATATTTCTAAATATATTTCATTGAGAGCCATATAGTATTTTTAACGTATAATAAATTAAATATGTCTTACTTTTAATGCGACTTCTGGTCACGGGATCCGTGACCCGAGAAATTTTATCTTAAAAACTAATTTCTGTTTACTTTAAAATGACACAGTATTATTAAGCAATATCACAAGTATTTAAAATCAGTTCCAAACTGATTTTTTTATTATTATTTTTTTCAACTCAAAATTGTCTGGGAGCCATATGCCGTCACCGGAAGAGCCATATATGGCTCGCGAGCCATAGGTTCCCGACCGCTGCTCTAAAGCCTCGTGCATTGTAGTCGTGTAACGTTCTCTCTGGACATAATAAGTATCACTCCTGTGTAGCCTTTCGCGGCTGTGCGGTTTAATTCTCCGATGTGATAAAAGTTGTGCGCTTACCAACGTAATGGAACGTCTGCCCCTGCGACTGGTTGATTGTGATAGCGTATGCGGGGAGAATGGGAAATTGTCGTCGTCGCAAAACAAATGGCAAAGTCGTGTCGGTGAGGGTCCAAGTAGATTCTGGGAATGAACACCGAATCGCCTCGTTCTCTCTTCTCTCTCAAGCGTTCATTATATTCATCATAGACAGATAGAGAAAGTTGTTTATATATAAATATAATTTTACATCTGGAAGACTTCATTGAAAACGACATTTCGCGTGAATTTTCTCTCGTCGTTAAGTCGATGTCCTTGCTGGGGGTTCGGTTCGATGAGGACTTTCACCTGTTTGGGATTGCGGGATCGAGATAAGGCGACACAGAGCTGCTGGCCGTGCGAGAACACCGCCGTCTGCAGATCGATTCCAATGTAATCGAACGTCTGTCCCTGCGCCTCCGTCGTTCATGCACGGGGCATGTAGGTTTGCAGCGCCCCCTGCATGAAAACAACGGGAAGTGCAGCGTTCATCATATTCATCACAGATAAAGTTGGGCGTTTATGTTATTCATTCTTGTGTAATGGTGTGCAAAACAAAAAGATAAAATACAAAAACATGGGCGCACTTGGCTTTTATTAAAAGGGGCACTGGTATATTTTTGGAGAAAATTCGTTTTTCTTGTAACAAACTAATAATTATTTACAATTTTAATAAGTCTAAATTTTGATTTTAAGCTTTCGTGACTGCAGGGATTCATCTTCTTGGTTCTTTCGGCAAAGTCACGTAGAAGGGAAATAATAAAATAATAATAATTCAACATAATAAAATAATTCTCACGACGTTTCGGCCACAACGCAAGCAGCCGTCCTCAGGTGAAGACCAGGTCTGTCGGGGAGACAGCGTCTGAACTGCTCTCCCTGACAGACCTGGTCTTCACCTGAGGACGGCTGCTTGGGTTGTGGCCGAAACGTCGTGAGAATTATTTTATTATGTTTTATTTTTATTATTTTATTATTTCCCTTCTACGTGATTTTAATAAATCTTTCATTTTTTTATTGCATGAAAATCCACGAAGCCGACCCAGCGTTACACACGGCGTACAGTGTCAGGCGTTAGGCACAGATCACCAAAACTATATGTATGATTGTCCTCTAACTGCATCTTTCTTTCACGTAAATATGCCCACTGTTTCTGTACGGCATCTTAATATGCAGTCACATTCAGATGCTATATAAATCAACAGGATGGTTTTGGTATGGGGACAAGTTCAACTTAACTCTGGTACAATTAAACAATGTCCCATTTAAATGCTGTGGTGATCAGTGGTGATCAGGCGAGGAATGCAGAGACCATCTGCTGCTTGTCATGTGGCAGGGACACGCTTTTCTACGAAGACTTCAATCTTTCCGCCGTGATCGACCGCTTCTTGGGTCTGCAGGAGCACAGAGGGCCCGACTGCAGCCTGGTGCTGTCCTACTCCTGTGCGGATCACGGTGTGGCCTACTATGCACACAAACACTTATATCGATGGATTGGTATTTTGTTGTGGTATTTTGGATATGTATTATATTTTCCTTGATAAATAGGTGAGAAATCATGGAAAATATCCAACTAACAAACAATATATTTTTCATTGAAGTCAATATTTGTGATTGGATGTGATTTATGCGCTGTTACCGTTGTTATCAAATTGTTGATTTATTTGTAAATATGCAATTTGGGAAGATTAAGGTGGCATTGCAGGATTTTGTTACACATATAACAAAATCATATCCACTTTACAGTGTAAAATATATTTTAAAAAATTGGTATGTAAGCCAGTTGAGGTGATTTATTATCATTACATTTTAGTAGGAAATCATTGTTAGATTATTGTGTTTGATGAATGAGATGTGCAAATATAAATGCTTTGATATATATATGTTTTGATATATATATACACATCTATATCAAAGCATTAGAATGATCTCATATCAGCTGCTGTCCCTTAGTGCCTTGTAGTTTTGGATGCGTTGTGTATTGATTTTTATTGCACTTTTGGGAATATGAATCGGCACTGTTGTTGGCACGTCAATGTGTAGAGTGTAGATCTGTGCATACCCAGAGGGTGACGGTGCATGCCTGGTGGGTGCGCTGCGTGCAGAGACCACTAAGTTTGGCATTCTGGAGGTGGACGAGACGCAGAAGGTGACGGCCTTCTTGGAGAAACCCAGCGCTGAGGAAACCAGCTCACGGAGAGCGGTAGGGCGGCAATATAGACAAAGGCTCCGCTTATATCTTTGAGACCCTTTTTGACGTGATCAATATGATGAAGTCTCCCATAGATATAACTACTGCTCAAGCAGAGCTATTAATGCCTTGGATATTTGCATTTCCTTTTTGCTATTCGCCTTCGGCATTATCTGGTCTAAACTGGTGAAGCAAAGGCATAAAGGAGGCTGTTGTTGATGTCAGCCCATCAGTTTGAAGAACAATGCGTACATTATCAAAGCATGTTTGTCTGTTTTACCACAAGCATGTGTGGTTAATGCAGACTGGATGCCGTGCAATAGGTGTCTCTTTGATGTTTGAGCATCTGAACACCTGTGTTATTGCCGAAATGGGTAAAGCCTTTTCTTTTTTCGTCAAAGGCACCTCTTATTTTCTGGACAAGTCTCTGAAGAGGATGCTGTTAATGTGCATCTGTTGAGACCAACGTCACACGGAATATTCTCCCTACTATTTATGTTGGCACAAAGCATGAGGTCATATTTTTTGTTGAGTCAACTAGAGAGAGGCCATGACCAGCATTATATACAATATTTTTTTGTATTACAAAGAACCTTAACCAGGTTTACCTTTATCACAGTGCAGTGCGCTAACCACCACGACGCCACTGCTGTCCAGCTGCCTGCTCAGTGCATCATTGGACAAATGGTCACATGTGCATTTTCACTCTGAGCACCAAAAGATACATTCCATGGCCCAAGCCCTTGACGGACAATTATGCATGTTCATAAGTTAAATTAAAAATTTCGATTTAAAGCTTTTGTGACTGCAGGGATTAATCTTCTTGGTTCTTTCGGTAAAGTCACGTAGAATGGAAATAATAAAGTAAAATATTATAATATTATTTTATTTTATAATGTGTTATTTTAATTATTTTATTATTTCCATTCTACGTGACTTTACCGAAAGAACTAAGAAGTTAAATTAAAAAGTTGCCTACTCCTTTTGGGTACAGCACTGGCAGTAGGGAGGGGCCATCCATTCAGTAGGTACGCAAAAATCTGTCAAAACTTGCCCCATCCCCCCTCCCTGTACCTACGCGTACTTTTAACACCCCCCCCCCCCTCCCCCGAATCCTATAGAATGGCCGATATTTAATCCACGCACAAACGATCAAGGATGGACAATATTAATATACTTTCATATAAATCTCATTAATTTTAGTCAATGTGGGTTTTGAAAGGAAAAATATCAGTGGCATTATGGGCACTAAACTTCAATGGTGCAACGTTAAAACTGGTTCACAACCAGCTATCGTAAGGTATGTTGTGACAACACTGCAGGGTTTATCTTCTTGGTTCTTTCGGTAAAGTCACGTAAAATGGAAATAATAAAATAATAAAAATAAAACATCATAAAATAATTCTCACGACGTTTCGGCCACAACGCAAGCAGCCGTCCTCAGGTGAAGAACAGGTCTGTCGAGTGATGACTTTGTTTGATGTCGCTGCATAGCCAATAACCTGACAGACTTTGTGTTTAAAGTTCTCCGCAAGAAACCCTGCAGTTTCGATTTAAAGCTTTCGTGACTGCAGGGATTCATCTTCTTGGTTCTTTCGGTAAGAACAGGTCTGTTCTTCACCTGAGGACGGCTGCTTGCGTTGTGGCCGAAACGTCGTGAGAATGATTTTATTATGTTTTATTTTTATTTTTTTATTATTTCCATTCTACGTGACTTTACCGAAAGAACCAAGAAGATGAATCCCTGCAGTCACGAAAGCTTTAAATCGAAACTGCAGGGTTTCTTGCGGAGAACTTTAAACACAAAGTCTGTCAGGTTATTGGCTATGCAGCGACATTAAACAAAGTCATCACTCACGAGAGTGTTTAAGCAAACAGATAGTCCACCGCTGGACTATCTAACTCATTTGAAGGCCAATGTAGATACATTATTATCGAGGCTTCACCACCCCCCTTTTCTATGCGTACATTGTCAGTAGACCCCCCCGTACGCAAGCGTACGCAATTTGGTGAACCCCCCCTTCCCCCTCCATGCGTACGTACTAAATGGATGGCCCCGTATTGGACACATCCTCCCACTATCAGCTCTTTAGATTGTGTCCATATTTTAGCTGACTACAGCTTGAGTTATATGAATAAACACCCAAACTCCCCGAGGACTGTTCCTTGGTACCCTTCTTAATCGCCCAGTCGACAAAGGTTTTTAACGCCCGAACATTAAACTGGGCTTGGCTGCTAGATCACATATCATGGGCAGTTGTGTGTCTTGGCAAATGTTTAGTTCATCTTGGAGTAATTGAATCGTTATGAATAACAATTTAACGATGCATTAATTCATTGATATCGATTGGTGCGCTCATGTTGCGTTCATCACATCGAGTAAGATTCGATGTTTTTAAGATTTGTATGTTGTATGCAGCCTATAGTGGCCGCTACATTCACCACATTGTAAAAACGAATGAAAACATGAATCGCAACCCTGAATCATGACAATTTCATCAAATCGCCAGAGGTGAATTGTTGCACCACCAGGCTACATACAGATATTGCTACATTATTTTAATCTTGTGCGCTAACCCAGAGATGCTCGAATTTTGTGTTGCAGTGTCCGTGTTTTTATGTTTATTCTAAACATGCCCTGCCATTGCTGAAAGACTTCCTGCATGAGACGAAGGTGAGCAGTACTTTTACTCAAAATTGTATATGATGGATTTGCTAAAAATATTTACCGTCTCACCTTATTCCACAATCTTTCCTGTAAATATTTTGTTTTTCCTACATCTCCATTGCAAATTTCACTAATCCCCACCGTGAAAAAAATCATACATTTGGTGAAAATTATTGCCGTGGCCAAAACCTGAACACAAAAGTCCAGCCAGCCATTAGCTTCCTCACAAAAAAACCCCTTGAGTCAGTGAGAGGCTCATGCAATCCATTGATATCTGAATGCAAAGTACTTGTAGGTGCTTGCAAATTGGTTTGTCCAAATAGTGTTGACAATTATCCATTTTTCTCTTGCACTGTATGAATTATCATGTGGCTCACGCTATTGCTTATCTATTTCCACACGTGTGATAGTAGCCTTGTAGTTAAGAAGCCCACAGATCTGTTCTGTCACTCTATCGTGGCCCATATTTAAGCAATGAGCACCGATGGCCTAAAGCAGCTCAGTTCTTTATCAAGTGGTTGCGCATGCCTGTAATCCATTATTGTGGAGGCAATGGTTGGTGGACCACACTAATCTTGTGAAACTCCATTCACACAGGCAATGAGTTGCCATACCCTTGCTTTCCAAGGCAAATGGTAGAGCAATTGTGAACTCCACCTGTAGTTGCCCTTTCACACAGCTGGATTTTATCTGGGTGCTCTCGTATCCTCCCATATAGGTAAACTGCTCATTAATTTGCCAATAATGCCTAAACATATAGGGGATCCGCAGACTTTGGTACCGGCTAACCACCAGGCTGCCTTTCCCATCTGTGGTTCCTCTTGATGAAGTCATTCTCTCTCTGCGAGAGTATACGCATACTGTGCATTACAAGTTGAAATTGTCATGACGATTACCTTTCAGGATGCTCCTCTGGAAGCACGCGATGCTCCTGGAAACTTCCTGGCGTGGCTGTATCCAAGGTGTGCGTCCCGTCAACTTCCACTCCTCCCTGCTTCCTCTCAAATGATGCCAAACCTGATATCTCCCTAGAAAACACTTTGCTATTTTGGAGACTCGAGATTCAGGAATCTATTGATTGCCGAGATAAGGATTAGCATAGATGAGGAATTTGCAGGTCTATTAAGCAGTGTTACGATACAATTGTGGAAATTAGAAACGATTTAGCTTTAATTTAGACCCATTTTTATAAAAGCCACGCCACGCTACATTAGCATCCTATCAATGGATGGTGATGTTCAAAGTTGCCTGAGAGGCATGCTGAACACGAGTTACGTGACAAAATATCCACACATGACAAATCATCCCTTCAACTACAGCTGCCAAGGATTAATTCTCTTTCCTCCCTCCCCTCCCTCTGCCTTGGGACCCTTAGGAAACCGGTGTACACGTTTGAGGTGTCGGGGAGGTTTGACGTGGGCGGACTGCAGTCCTACCTGGCCTGTCACAAGCACTTTGTCGACAGGGACGTTTCTTTCGGCAACGCACAGGCAGATGCTGCCACCTAGCTGCGATGGGTCAGAGCATGGCACGCAGCAAGGAGCAGCACTCAACGTGTGGATGGCGGATAGCTCTCTCCAGTAATTTAAAGGAAAAAACACGGAACGAGCGTTACTGAAATGGAAATACTTGTCTCTAATTTATACAATAAAACATGAATGCGACACGCCAACTCCACTTAAGTCTTTTAAAAGAAAACTGAGGATAAAAGGCTTTCCCCCTCTGCAGCGCATTTAACCTAATGGCTGTTATGGAAGGCATTTTTACACTCAATCATTTGTCAGTATGCATTAATGTAAAAAAAGCCACGACGGACACTATTTTCATGCATTACATATTGCTGTTAAAAGTATTCCTGTCATCCAATAAATATACTAATTCGATGTTTCTGCTTGAATAGACAACCTAACGCAGGCTTGTCACATATGCTTGTTTGCAAATAAAAATTCAGTGGTTACACTTAATACAATTAACCATTACCAATTATAAACTATTGTTGCCTGTACCGTAAACAAGTGTTTATAAGCAGCACATGTTTAAATTACACTGAAATAACATGGAGGAATCGAACCACGTAGTTTAGAGGAAATTTATTTCCGTTAACACCAACGCGCACGGAGTCGTCCCGAGTGAGGCCAGACGTTTTCTCAAGCCCTTACAAAGCAAGTCCCCCCTCCAATCATCTCAGACACGTCTTGCCCTTCATCAAACCCAACGCGAATTGGTCTTTAACCAACCCTCATCTCTAAAAATTTCCCGGCTGAGTTTCGAACGGTTCCACTAATTGGCTCCTCCCACTCACAACCCACCAATGTAGTGAGCACTGGTGAGCCAATCGCACTAGTAGATGGTTATGGATATTGGTCGCAAAAGCCTACGTGTTAAACTTGTAGGTGGTTGTTGGATGTGCTGGCCGTTGCATCTTGACAGCTGGCCAATGGGCTGCGACTGTACCCGTTGCAACGGTCAGGCTGTCAGTTTATTATGAAGAGACCCTACATAGATAAGATCAAGATGATAATTTCCTGACAGGGTATATTCACCTGCAGTTACAGAAAACATTAAAAAACCTTCCCAATTGAATAAACTTTAATAACGAAGCAAAGCAGTAAAAATTGTATAAAACTAATAAAAATATCACATTTCACAAGTCGCGATTATACATTTACAACTTGACTCAGTAGGAAAAATAAAACTGCAAGCGGCCAACAAATGTGTTCCCCTCTGTACATGCTTGGAGAAGTATTTGTAATGTTGGCTCAAATGAGGTCAGGTGAATTACACTAGTCATCAAGACTACAAAAGAGCATATTTAAAAGGCACGTTTCTCAACGATGCAAGTTTTACAAGGCACCACTTTGTTAATGAATACGAGTACTGCAATTCAAACCTGCCGACAATCTTGTTAGAGCTCACCAAAACGAAGTGCAAGTATGACCAGCAGTGCAAGTATTTTTGGAAATCCATCACAATACAATATGTACATTTATACCAAGAGCATAAAATTGTGCTGCATACTTAACGTTGCACAAGGACATTTGGTTTGCTCTTACAGATTTAGAATACATTGTAAAGTGTTACCAGCAGAACCGCATTATCTCAATATTCCTTCACCTGGGATAGTGGAAGCTCATCTGTCTCAATATAGAAAAATACTTTTAGCAATACCAAAATGCTTACTCTTGAATTGATGGTTTCACTTAGGTGTGCAGCATGCATTCTCAGAATTTATATGGCTAAATCCATGTCATAATTGGTTTAACAATCAAACATCAAGCGTCCATACTGAATGGTCGTACGTGAAACACGCCACGAATAAAAGACTGACGACTTGAATATACCATATTTTTTGCCATCTCATAGATCGAAAATGTTAACACGCCATCTAAAAAGGCAATATATACACATATGTCAAGAAGAACACAGTTAAAATCTACCACGTAAAACATTTCTGCAAGACTCAAATATTTAAAGGACAGAAAAAGGCTGTTTGATGATATTGCTTGCATTTTGTTGCCCTAAATATGCACTTAGTACATCTTCGTTTAAACCAGTCATCTAAGCAGCTTCTGTGGTGTGACATCTTGGTTGTCATTCTGAGTGGTTGAGGTGGTTGGAGATGGCTTCCTCTTCACCCTCATCTTCATTGAATGAGTTGTACCACTCATCTTCTAATTCCCATGGATGGCTGTACTGCTGACTGTGCAGTGACATTTCCTGTGGGCTGAGATGTGGGGAGCCCTCCACGAAATCTGCAAACCTGCAGTACAAAAAGTATAGTTATTTTGCTGAGAGAATCTGCGATATAAAAAAAATACATGGGTTTCTATCAAATACTGATTGGAAAATGGCCAAGCTTTTCCTGCAATGCTGTGCCACTGGTTGTGGTGTATGTAGGGGAGTGACTCTTTACCGTCTTGGCGAGTTGAGCTGCGTGACAGCCTTCCAAGCATGGAAGTCAGGGCTGCGGCAAAGCTCGCGGAGACTTTCCAGGGCTCGTTGAGTCTCCACCTCACCCTGCTGTTGATACTCTTCCTCCGTCAGCAGGCGCACCTCAGGGGGACTGCTTAAAAGGTGTCTTAAACCCAACTTTTCTGTAATTTGACCAAACAGGTGTCCCCATGATAAAACGGACAAGGCAAGCTTAGAAAACCCAAGGCAAATGTGAAGATAAACTAAGAACATTTACAAATTATATTTTCATCAGTGCGTTGTGATTACATAGATGTTATAATTTACCACATGTTTCTGTCCACAATGGGAAACCTTTATTTAGGATGCATACTACAATTTCTCACCTGCACACCCATGCCACAGCACGAACTGGGTAGTGAAGCAGGCGCATGGTAATGGCAACCAGCACCATAGCAAAAGAGATCGTGGAGATCTGCGTGCCGTTGTAGATGAACAAAAGCGCAAGCAGCTGTAGTGTCCAAGTCATGATGTGCAGGCTCCGCTCGTTGGTCACAGGTCCCAGCCGGTAGCAGACAGCAAAGCTCACAAAGCCCACTGCCGCCAGGTAGCCTGCATTCACATGTTACAAGCATGGCCCTTATCCAAATGCAAGTTATTCTCACAAGAGTGGGGTTTGATCAAGAAACTTGAGGACTATATTTCATAAGTGTACTTACCAGCAACATACATCTTGTGATCAGCAAGTAATTCTCCTAGGTGACGGTAAGTCCACTGCATTGCATAAAGAGCAGCGGACCATCCTCCCACCATTATAGCGTAAACACTCGACCTCTGTAATGGCAACAAGCCGGCAATTCATCTTTATGTTAAAATAAGAGTGCCTTTCAAGCACTAATTCACTTGCATAACAATCAGCGAGAGCCTTGGTACTGTCAAAACGATATTCACCCAAAGCACTGTTACAAATGTGCGAAGACAAGATATTTTATGCATCTCGAGACAATGCAAGAACAATCGATATTCACTGTGATGTGGGAGAATTGACGTAAATTTCAAAATGGCACCATGTAATAATTTACACTCCATGCAATTTTAGGACCACAAAGCACTTTTTGAAAATTATGGCATACAAAGAATTGAGCTGCCTGTGCTATATGCACCCGGTGGCTGTCACGTGATGTGTATGTTCTTCCAACAACAAACCTTGGGAAGAAAGCGGCCAACAACAAAGATGATGATGAGCAGTGATGCCACAATCCCCAACAGTACACCCGATGAGTAAAAGAATGTCGCACTCCTGCAAGTACATGACAAACAGCTGTGAGATGACCCAACCGTGGCCACTAAGCTGCTACACTCCTACAGCTGTAAAGCCTCCAATTTGTGTTTTACAGTTCTCAACTAAAAACCCTTGACATCTTAAAATGGACGGTTAAGCTTGACAAGCAACTGAAAACTTTGATTTAAAGTCTTAACATTATTTCAAAATATTTAAAATGTGTGGCAAAAACCTAGCAAAATGTTATCCCTTAGCACCAGTATCAGTACTTGACTCGATTCGTTGGCTGTAAATTGTAAATGTTGTGTGCTGTAGCAACAGTGGTGTTTTGTTTTATTGCTCTTAAACTACCAGGAATATTTAATTGCAAGAGCAGCATGCTCAAAGTTATATTATCCAATGCTGCATAAGTCAAACATTGGCTATAATATACATTGGTTTACATGGAACGCCAAGCATTGAGTATTTTAAGATGCATACCTACTAAGATTTTCAGCATAGAAGAAAAGAATAATTCCAAAGAGGAGAATGCCGATTAACCTCCAACTAAATGCTGAAAAAACAAAAACACATACAAATTGTAAGAGCATTGGAATTTACAATAAAATGTACAACACAATTAAAATCCTAAAACTCATTTTTGACCAGCATGGTGAAATTATATGAAATAACCCCATGGCAGACATGCTATGGGAAGACCTTCAACCAGCAGTTGATTAACAATTGGAAGTAATTGTATGTTTCATAATGTAAATTCAAAGCATTTAAATCCAGGTCACAAACACACCACAGGCACAATTCACGAGTTTGTAGCAAATGCCAATATTTTTTCTAAATAATTTCCATTTACCCCCCATTATGTCAACTGGGCTACTGATCCACCACAAAGCATAAGTAAAATGGTTTGTGCAACACATGAATCAGACTCATATTACTGTAAAGTATATTGTATGAGATACTCTCTCTATAGAAGTGTCATACCGGTACGGATGACTTTGACTTCATAGATGCCGCTCGTCTCCACGCAGAAGCAGGTCTGGTTGGCGAGGTTGAAGTAGTGGTAGACATCTCGGGAACCACTGCTCACCCGTCTCCACATCCAGCTATGCCAGCTGCTCACCTGCTGTTGAATCTCCGTGGCATTGTGCCCCATCAGCAACTTCACGTCACCATTCTTTCCCTTCACCTCCACCTGGGAAGTGGAATGGGCTCACAACTCCACACTACTGCTGTCTGCTGATATGGAACCTATAGCTGGTTAAAATATTGAACCTCTGCATACTGGAGAAATTAAATTGGGAAATTATATCTGAAGATTATTTTCTCGATTTACTGGGAAATGCCTGGCAGGTTTAACTGCAATTGAATAACACTTTAAATGAGTTACACTTTTGCTTTTTAGACATTTTAACCATGACTCTTCAAGCCAAATGGTTATTCAAGGTACAGTATTATAAATATAAAGCTTATTTTTCACGAAGAGCTCATTGTGACCAAAAGTCTGTTTAAGGAAGACCTGGTAATCAACTGCAATGTATCTAATGTAACCTGCTGACACTTGATTAGCCCTTTTTCTAAGCACACTCTTCCCCGTTCAGTGTTCCCAATGCTAACACAAAATACGCCAAGCCCTCGCTTAATGCGTGTTCATACAACGCATTTTCGCTATAACGCGGTTCTTCTATTGGGGAACACTTTACGCACAACGCAGAACGTGCCCATTACAACACGAATTCTGAGTGGTTGACGACGTACTACTTTCTGGAGCTGCGTGGCCGAGCGGTATTATACAGTACATTGCGGCGTACCATCATCTCAGTTGTCCTGCCATGGGATGACTGCAGGCAGATTTTCTAGTGCAAATGTGATTCAGTAGAGTAAATCCTCGCTTTCTACATTTTTGCTTAACGCGGAACTTTTCGGAAACATTTTTACGGCATTAAACGAGCAATTACTGTAAGACCAAAAAGTGATGATTGTCTTACATGTATTGTCAACCAAATATCTTTTAGTTGTAACTTAGCCGGTGTGAAGCAAAACGTCTGGGTTTTATTGTGCTCTTCAACGGAGCCAATCTTCAAAATGCCTGCAAGGATACACACAGCACATAATCACCACAGGCACACCAATGTTCAAATATTCAATGTTGGTTCAAGTCATTCCTGGATTTTTTCTTGCAGAACAGTGTTTCAATTCCAGGAACATGGCAGCTCAAATATTACTCAACATAAGTCTCCATCCACAGTGCAGAGCTTCCCGAGCCAATGCACAATTGCCTGAAAAATGTCTGCCCGAATAATGTCAGGAAACACCTGATTTGGATGTATGGGAGAAACTCCAAACCCTCGATGTTCAACTTGGCTGTGGTGGTATGGGCTGTATAGGGTCAAGCATTGTCTTGGAGAAAAACAATTTTTCTGGACAGAAGGCCAAGATGTTTCTTTTTTTATTGCGATGCACACATCCTGAAGGTAAAATAGGAGACAATCTTGATTTTAAGCTTTCGTGACTGCAGGAATCCATACTCTTTGGTTCTTTCGGTAAAGTCACGTAGGTATAAAATATAATAAATCACGTTTCGGGCGCAACACAAGCGTCCGTCATCAGGTGCTTTCCGACCTTGTGTTGTGCCCAAAACGTCGTGATTAATTTTATTTTATACCGACGTGACTTTACCGAACGAACGAAAGAGTATAGTAGACAATGTTAATAATGGTGCCCTTGGCTGAATAATACATATTAATATTGTACTGTAATCATCGTGTCAGAATTAATTGGGTGGTAAAGATCCTGTTTCCATTCCATACTGAAATGCTTTAATTATGGTGTGCGATTATGAATCTAGGTCTCGTCACTGGTGACAATGCGTTCCGGGAATGTTTGGCTCCCTGCGATTTCCATCTTTGAGAATCTGAGCACTTGAGTGGGCAACGATTATAATCAGATCTCGAACTGAAAACGTGTCCTGATAGGTTTTAAGCGAAGAAACACTTCTTTCTATGTTGCTTTGGGCATGCAGGCACTTTTACATGGGTGCAAAATGTGATGTGGATGGAGAATACATTAGACAATAGGTACCATTACTGTTATGATTCTGGATTAAAAAATATTTTCTGTGAGAAAAATTACAAGCATGGCTTTAACCACACCCTGTACAGTATAGAGTTTATTACGCAAGGCAGGCATGCAATCTTACATATGCTACTTGCACTCTACAACTGTATGGCTGTATAGCTTTCTAGGCTGATCACTAGCATCAGTTGTGGGTCAAGTGTCTCAGGTCACTCCTGGATAAGGACCAAATGCACAGTCAATGGCAGCTTGTCTGCAGCTAAAACACAACATGTCAGTAGTATCCTCACTCTTTGGTTCTTTCGGTAAAGTCACGTAGGTATAAATAAATACAAATCACGACGTTAGTAGTATCCTGAGTTAACTCTTCAGTTAAGCTTGAATTTAGCCTGTGAAAGCCTAAGATTGTAGAGTATTTAGAATACACTTTTATGGATACATATCGGATCAAATTAGGAACATCTCCAAATAAATGTATTAATGTACACAAGTCCTTTTTTTTGTCAATCCACTGCTGCATGAGAACTTCCTCTCGCCGTGGGTCATGGGGGTTATTTGACTAAACTCCACGGTGGGGCGTGTGGGCTCGTGAAGACGGGGAGCATGGGACAGTGCCAATGAATGTTGCCGTTCAGGTTCCTCTGCGGATCTGACGATCTCCGGCGCATGCTAGTTGATTTGGTGATATGCTAAATAAGGTAATCGGTAGGAAATACTAATTTAAATGCGGTGCTATAGAAATATAGCTAGCAGAGCTTAGAGAATAACTACTGTTGCCATCTCTTGGGTACAAAATATTCATCGAGACATCATTGGAAGTGCAATATCTCAAGACTCAAAGTATTTTAATACAAGAGTCCCCCCTATATCGGTTTGTCCCTAACTTATTGTAATTATACTCTTACCAATCTAAAAACAATCGGTCCGAGACAATCTACGCGACTGGGAATGTAATGTTTAAGTGATGTTTGCACAATATTTTCGATTTTCCATGTAACAGTTGTTTTTTGTTCCGATTTGTATTTGCTTCATTGCTCTACTTAGATTTTTTTCATTTTGGTGACCATGGTTAGTCTTGCAAATACTGTAAGACGATCCAGGGTTCTTTTGAGTTCTACACCCGGTTAATCAACATACTCGAACATTGTCTGCCGTAGTGTGCATTATATATGCCACTGACAAAAACCACGACTATCAACATCTTGGGAAGCCAGAATTTCCCAGGACAGTCGACTCAAAGAGGGCTGGCTCCCTGTGGAAACCAATACAGGTGGAAGCCCCAACGTGTTATAGAAAGTGTTAAGCAATGTCAGGTGAACTGAACAATGTCATGTTTGGCAGGCCATGGTGATCAGCGAATATTTCGGGGAACATCGAGATGCGGAAGGACACAAGCCGTGCACGAGTAATTGTGCATGAATGGCATAACCTCGAGGACTTCCAAAACGTACTAAATTCATGGGGAACACTTACACGCATGCAAGGCGCGACAATCGTCCACCTTCACAATCGATAACAGCATCGATATATCGATACACAACCCATGCGAGTGCCAGACAAAACGCTGCGTATGTTCAAAGCAAAACGATACGAAGGGTGGAGGTAACAGCAATACGAGTTCTACGACTTTCCCAACGTTGCTGCTTTAAACATTGACGCTTTCACTTTTGACTCGCAACTTTACACGACTCGTAGGTGCCTTGGCACTCACGACCACACCACCGTTATTAACGCAGCATGTGCCGGGCAACCTCCCCTCTCCACGTGGTTGGTGTACACTCGTCGGGCGAGACGCTGTTGCTCACGCCGTTAAACGCCAAACACAACGTAAAGAGAACAACAGCAACAACTAAAACAACAACAACGACGACGACTCCCCCCTCGTGGTTGTGAAAGGCGCGAACATTCAACGCCAGCATCACGGCCATTGCTGGCCTCTGACTCTCGGCGCCGACTGCGAAGTTCTAACTCGACACAGGAACAACGCCAGCAACGAGAGTCGAGAGAGATACGTGCAGATAAAGAGTGACAACGAGACAACGAGAGGCGCGTACGGGGTTCGTCCGGAGCTGCAGAGACGCGGAGAAGGAGGATCAGAAGCGGCGGTAACAGCAGCAGCAACGCGTATTGCGCCATGACAGCGGTGTGGATCGATCCGCTCGACGCTACTCGGCGATTCGACTCCGCAATCGATTTTTTCGTTTATAGCAGTGGGGAATCGAGTCGCGATTCCCGTTCGCACGAGGTGAATCGAGTCAACTAATATCACGAATTCGATTCGCAAGCAGGACTACAGGTATTCTTGGTTCTTTGGGTAAAGTCACGTAGAAGGGAAATAATAAAATAATACAAATATAAAACAAAAATGTATTTTATTTTACTATTTCCCTTCTACGTGACTTTACCGAAAGAACAAAAAATATGAATCCCTGCAGTCACGAAAGCTTTAAATCAAAATTTTACGACTGAAGATGCTTATGAAGGGACATTGCCCGAAACGTTGTCTATTGTTATATGTATACCCCACCCCCCTTCCCTTTTTGAGGCAGTGATACTGACACATTTGTTGAGTTTACTGCGTATTATTTTACGTTTTTTACGTTTTTGAATAAATCTGGACCACCACGAAAAGTCACCATTAATAATATTGAGCTGTTTTTATATTTTATTATAACAGAGAGCCCCCCCCCCCTCCCTGTTATCAATGCCCAATGTAACCATTGTCCCCGTACACAGTATTCCACACGTTTGATCTTCACAGCTGGAACATAATTGGGTTAAAACAAATCTTCAGGTATTGGTGGCCTGGCTAAGACGAAAAAGTAATATTTAAAAAAACTTTTTAAAAACACGCTTTTATTAAATGTACTACTAATGGAAGAATTCCATGACTACAGGAAGTAGCCCCGAAGCTTTCCATAACGTTTGGGACCGTGGCCAATTACAGCCAACGTCAGTTGACCGTGGACAATTAGACCCAAGCCGAAACATAACATATAATAAAGAATGTTTAAAAATATATATGTTTCTTATGATAGAATATAGTATTATCATCAGTATGACATAAGTATACCAAGTTTGCAGTCGATACCACATTGGGAAGTGGGTTAAATTGAGTTACAAGATTTGAGTATACAACAACAACACCGACAACAACAACAACAGAGTGAGTTAAATGAAAGCGTGTAAAAAACCCAACATTTGTGAACCAGTAGCCGGTTGCCATGATAGGCAGTACCAGTTGACCTTTGGCAACGGCCACTTGTTAATTATTTACAATTGGATGTGAAAACGTGAAACGCCACCTCCTGGCTTGATCATGAATTATACTCTTAGGTTTTTTCGTTAAAGTCACGTAGGCAAAAAATAAATAAATAACAAATATTAAAAATAATAGAAATCATAATATAAATAAAATAATTATGTTTCTTATTTATTTATTTTTTACCTACGTGACTTTACCGAAAAAACCTAAGAGTATGAATCCTTGCAGTCACGAAAGCTTCAAATCTAGAATTGGTCATGAATTGGCAGTATAGCAAGTGGATTATTTTCTATCTGTTCGAGGATTGAGTTGTTGCTGCCCGTTCGCATGCGTGGGTCTTTACTCACGCATCCTCCCACATATATAAGAACTAATTAATGGAGTTGATCAAACATCCAAATATAGGCCCACAGAGCTTGGGCAATTGTTTGGCGCCGGTTCTAGCTGCCTTCCCATTCACCTGTGGTTTTCCGCACTTCTGAATCCCATGAATACTGTGCATTACACACGTGGGTATTTTATGATATTTTAAATACCGAACACTGTACTATATAGTCATCTAATGGATAAAAGGCGTCCTCTGGTCTTTTGGCATCATCTGGTCTAGCACCGTTTGATGCTCGGCTCAAAAGAAAGGTGTTTCTGGTGTATATATTATCAGAGTATGTTTTTTTTTGCATTCTGACCACAAGTATATGTGGTTAATGCAGACATGATTCCTTGTAAAAGGTTTCAGTTTGGTGTTTTAACATCTTAACACCTGTTTTGTTGCCAGAAAAAATGGTAAAACCTATTCTCATATTTTTGGTACTGACATGATGGTTGCGGTACATTCATTTGTATTCATCTTTATTCTATCTTAATTTAATCAGTCAATTTCTGTAGTTCATTAACATTGGTTGTTACAATGGGTAAATGTCATCAGCAAACCTGAGACAGTTAATACGTTAACTATTTATGTTTATGCGTTTGCAAAACAGAAATAAAGTCAATGCTTTAGTTGTAATAATATATATTTTAAATGTGCAGAAATACATGAGCAGGACCATAAGGGATGGCGATAATATGGGGTGGCTTTTGTTCAGCGGTGGATATAGATGAGATATTGTGATGAATTGTATGAGCAAGCCAAGCCCACGCGCCTCAGCACGCCACCCACGCACGTGCGTCACACACGCGCACGAGTCACACGAACCACGCACCTCCATTCCACACACTCACACATACTTCCCACGCAGTCACATACACAGCTACACACGTCCTATACAAACCACAAAGACACACACCCCCCTGCCCCCTTCCCCCGTATAGCCTCTAACAGAGTGTTGAGGAAAGTGCTGTCAGTGAGCGCCTATTAAGGCCAGCACAGCACACGAAGCGGTGGGTGGCCATGATCACGCCCGGTTGACTCTGTCTCCCTCTAGTGGCGATGTTTACACACTGCACAAGGTAGGGCAGTCCGGGCAGTCCGCTAACCACCACTCTACCTATGGAACCCTTTTTGCCGGTATCAAAATGATGAACAAACAAACAGGCTTTACTTTTTCACCACTCTCCGGCTCCCCAAACAATAACAACAACCGACCTTCACCACGAAGTGGCGGTAACGTCACCCCCGGTGCCTTTGCCAAGCGAAGTGCACCACACACAACCACGCACATCATACGCACACAGTAACGCGCGCACACGTCATGTCAACACAGTCACGCACACATACACACGTCCGACACACAGTCACAGACACAGGTCCTACAGACCTATATACCAACAGTTACACACACGGCCTGAGCACGCGCACATCTTTGTTTAACGCCACTTGAGTGACTGTGACGTCATCCCCTGGCATGTGCCAGGCAGAGCACATGGCATCCGTGCAGGACCTCCGATTAGAACGGTTGGCTACGTACGGTGCGAAAGAAGTTCAACATACATACAGGAAATCCCCTGCCTGAAACCAACTTGGAGTTTCGCGAGCTTCGTCTAGGTGCACAGGACAAGATCCTTTCTCAACTCACTGAGCAAAGAGATGCCCTGGTAGTTGTTACAATCAGTGTCATCCTTCCAATCCTACCAAACCCATAATGTTGACCAGGTAGTTGTAATGATGCCATGTAAGACACCGTAAGGTCTGCTGTAGCATACGGACAGCGTGTGCATCATGTGCTGAGGACAGCATGTTGTGCATCTTTGACTTATGATCAATTAACCATCAGAAACAGGCGCGTGAACTGACAAGCTAAAGGACTAATGATTGACTGTTGGAAAGTATTGGAGATGAAAATACCACGCATGGAGAAGCAGCTTAATGCTGAGATCTTCCCTTCCCTATGATTGTCTCGATATAAAATAATATATGCTCTATACACTCACACACATTTGTTTTACACACACACTACGTCATACAAAGTAACCGGTTAAGAAAACGTAATAACGAGACGTCCATGCTATCTTTGAGATAGATACAATATTATTGTAACGTTTTGACAGATTATCTTATTTTATTTTGTCAGATACTCCATACACACACCCAGATACTCCATTCACACACCCAGACTCCTTACCCATATGGGAACACACACCCATGCTCCACTGCCAGCATACACACGTCCCACCCACACACCACATCCGTGTCCCGCCTACACACACGCACCTTTATCTCCTTCTTAGAAACAACAACCGCCATTCGCCACTAAGTGGTGGTGACGTCACCACGACGCTTGTGCCAGGCTAGGTGCACCTTGAGGTCACGTGAAGTGTCGAACGCCCGCTGGCAGGAGGTCACGGGGCAGACCCAGATGTCACAGGTCGACTGACTGAGACGACTGGCTGATGCACCACCTGTGCCCCCTACTGTGCCAACTTGCTGTGCTTTAGCCACCCGGCGCTCCGCTCGTTGTTGTGAGATGCACCACCTGTGCCCCCTACTGTGCCAACTTGCTGTGCTTTAGCCACCCGGCGCTCCGCTCGTTGTTGTGAGCGTCGCTCCTCCGCCCTCCGTTGTCGTTGGAAGGCGACTTCCGGTGGCTGGGTATGTGGGCTACATGACCCAGCCAAAGCAGCCTTGCCTGCCGGAGGAGCTCACCGATGGGACTTTGTCCAGATCTTTCAAGGATGTCTCAGCTCCTCACACAATCCAGCCTGGTTAAACCCAGGATGGATCGTAGGCAGGCCAGCCCCTGACTCAAACCACCTCAACACACACGCCCACAACAGTCTCACCCACACATTCTCCCATCCTACACACAAATCGATGTCCGACACACATTATATGCATGTCTCACACACACATACCACATACCCTAAACACACCAACTCACAAAGACACCCAAAAACTTTTCCTCGACATACAGACCACAAATACATGAGTTAATTATTGATTATTTCACCAGGAAAGGCTAACTGAGATATATAGCTATTTTTCAGAAGCGACCTGGCCACGAATGATAGCTCAATTAAGTGGCTTATCATTTGGAAATTTTAATGTAGAGGGAAAAACTGGAGGACCCCAAGATAAATCCACACGTTCACGGGGAGAGACACACGCAAACTCCAAATATACAAGCGTCAGGGTCGGGATCGAGATCGAACCCATGACCTTCTGTATACCAGGCGAGGTAGTTAACATCTCGCCACCGCGTTACCCCCCCCCCCCCCCCCATACGCGTCCCTCCACTAATTACCACATGGGTTCAATTCCTGGCTCGGGTGCTTTATGAGTGGCGTTTGTATGTTCTCCAGATGTTCTCCATGAATAACCTGTAGCTTCTCCAGTTTCCTCACATAACTAAAACACGTTTGCACACTACACCGGTTACTCATGTATTATGGCCGTCCACTTATACACACACATACAACCACCCACTTTTCCCCTATACACAGACACTCATTAACTCTCCTTTCCCACGCGTTCTATCCTCCACCCTTCCAACCGTAAAGACACATATATCTTTCCTCTCAAAGCAAACATTCAGTCACTGAAACCCACGCCTCTTCATTTCCACAAATACACTTCGACACCACACAGTCTCCTCTCCCTCCACACACACAACCTGCCCTGTCTTTCCAAAGACAAATATCTCTCGTATAATCTTGATTTGAAGCTTTCGTGACTGCAGGAATCCATACTCTTTAGTTCTTTCCGTAAAGTCACGACTTTACCGAAAGAATCAAAGAGTAAGCCTTAACAGACTGTTGGGGACAAGTGCTGTTAGCGAGCACCTATGATGGGGTGGGTGGCCAGCACCACGCCCGGTCGCCTTTGTCTCCCCAGGGGCGATGTTTACACACCAGGCAAGGTACTCATTTGAGGCTGAGTCGACCTAGGGGAGGCCCAGCACCGATTCAGATATTCGTGACTGGTGTCGGCCGTGAACGAGAATCGACCTCGGGCCCCCAGGTTCGTAGCGTAGAGCGCTAACCACTGCGCCACCGCTCCCCTGCACGCACACCCTCCCTTGAAAGCACACAAGCTGCTCTCCAACTTCCCCACACGCGCACACCCAGCAGACCTTCTAAACTCTCCCCACTCACAACCTTTCCCCCTGGACACACTCCCCACACGCACACCCTCCCACTTCTCCCACACAAACACCCTCACCCTCTACACAAACACTCTCCAACACCCCCCCCCACGCACACCCACTCACTTCCCGCACAAAGACAAAGATCCCCCGTATAGCCTTAACCGATTGTTGGGGCAAGTGCTGTTAGCGAGCAACTATGAAGGGCCGGCACGGCACACGAGGGGGTGGATGTCCAGCGCCACGCCAGACCGTCATTAGCACACTGCCCATGTATGGGAAACTCTCCACTCTCTCCACAACTGCCCCATCACCGATTGGGAGTTGTGGGGGTGGAATGTCCGATTGTACAAAATACCCAGGCAGGTACTTAGCTTTGGTGGAGCTGATGGTAAGGCCCCACCTCTTAGTGGTAAGCTCCAGGTTCAGCAGCGCCTCCAACTTCTCCTCTGAGTGAGCAGCAATTACCAAATCATCAGCATACATAACGTGGTTGACCAATAGGGAGCCATCCCTTGATCGCACCCGGGCATCGATCAGCCTCCCATTGTATCTGTACCAAATGGAGATTCCCCCGGTACAGCTATTGAAGGCTTCACGAACTACGTGGTCGAAATAGATGTTAAATAATGTGGGAGCCAGAGGACATCCCTGTCGCACCCCAAGGTGGACAGGGAAAGGCTCTGACTCCCGGCCACGTAGTTTTACCCGGGCCCGCTCACCATCATGAAGGTCCTTAATGATCATGAGCAGAGGGTCAGGGACTCCAAAAGCACGAATAATAACCCAGAGCCCAGGCCTACTGATGGAATCATAGGCCTTGACGAGGTCAATAAATCTTGACTTAAAGCTTTTGTGACTGCAGGAATTCATATTCTTTGGGTCTTTCGGTAATATACGTGACTTTACCGAAAGACACAAAGAATATCAGGTCAATAAAGTAGAGATGTAGGCTTTGTTGGAATTCCCTACACCTCTGCTGTAGCAGACGGACAGAAGAAATGGCATCTGTGCAGGACCGCCCTTTCCTGAAATCGCATTGGGGCTCCGCAAGCCTCTCCTTAGCATGCCTGTCAAGGCGATGTTGAATAATCCTTGACAGGACCTTTCTCGGTACACTGAGTGAGATGCCCCTGTAGTTGTTACAGTCTATGCGATCCCCCTTCTTAAAGAGGGGGGCCATCAGGGCATCCTTCCAATCCTGTGGAACCCGTCCAGTGGTCCAGACTGTTGTTATGATGTCATGTAGGGCAGTCTGTGCACAAACGCCACACTCCCTCAGCATTTCACTTGGGAGATAATCTCTGCCCGGTGCCTTTCCTGGTCTCAGACTCTGGATCGCCAGAGTCTGAGACCCCCCCCCCCCCACACACTCATACACTCCAACCCTCCACACATCCACATACACTCCAACCCTTCACACACCCACATATTCTTCAACCCTCCACGCACACACTCCAACCTTCCACACACACATACACAAACAATCCAACCTTTCACACACACTCCAACCTTTCACACACACACATACACTCCAACCTCACCCACACATACACTCCAACCCTCCACACACACTCCAACCCTCCACACACACATACACTCCAACTTTTCACACACACATACACTCCAACAATGCACACACACATTCCAACCTTTCACACACACACACATACACTCCAACCTCACACATACATACACTCCAACCCTACACACACACACATACACTCCAACCCATCACACACACATACACTCCAACCCATCACACATACACTCCAACCCTCCACACACACACATACACTCCAACCCATCACACATACACTCCAACCCTCCACACACACACACACATTCCAACCCATCACACACACACACATACACTCCAACCTCACACACACATACACTCCAACCCTACACACACACACATACACTCCAACCCATCACACACACATACACTCCAACCCTCCACACACACACACTCCAACCCATCACACACACATACACTCCAACCCATCACACATAAACTCCAACCCTCCACACACACACATACACTCCAACCCATCACACATACACTCCAACCCTCCACACACACACACACATTCCAACCCATCACACACACACACATACACTCCAACCTCACACACACATACACTCCAACCCTACACACACACACATACACTCCAACCCATCACACACACATACACTCCAACCCATCACACATAAACTCCAACCCTCCACACACACACACACATTCCAACCCATCACACACACACACACACTCCAACCCATCACACATACACTCCAACCCTCCACACACACACATACACTCCAACCCATCACACACACACACTCCAACCCTCCACACACACACATACACTCCAACCCATCACACATACACTCCAACCCTCCACACACACACACATTCCAACCCATCACACACACACACTCCAACCCATCACACATACACACACTCCAACCCATCACACATACACTCCAACCCTCCACATACACACACACATTCCAACCCATCACACACACACTCCAACCTTCCACACACACATACACTCCCACTCTCCACACACACACACATACACTCCAACCCATCACACACACATACACTCCAACCCATCACACACACACACCAACCCTCCACACACACACACATTCTAACCCATCACACACACACACTCCAACCCATCACACATACAATCCAACCCTCCACCCACATGCACAAACCGGCGCGCCACACACGCACACCCCCGCACTGCGCCCGCGTGACGACGCAGGAAGGGGTGGAGATGGAGAAGGAGGAGCCGCTCGCTCGGGGAGACGCGAGGAGGAGGAGGGTGGTGGTAGTGGTGGTAGTAGTGGTGGTAGTGGGGGGTTCCACTTCCCACAGGCAGCCCCAGCAGCAGCATCAGCATCATCAGCAGCGTCTCCTCGCCCGGCTCCCCTGCGTGGCGCACGCGAGGTTGTGGGCTTCAGAGCGTGATTCTCGTCGTCGTCGTTGCTGCTGCTGCTGGGCGACAAGAGGCCGCTTGATCCACCGTAGAAAACGCTGCGTTGCACTGCGGCGGTAATAGAGCGAAAGGGTTTTTTGTTTGTTTGTTAGTCCGAGACAGAAGACGACGACAGCGGGTCGAGGCGGACACGAGGTACGGACCGGGATGTGGGGGGGGGTGTTGTTGTTGTTGTTGGGACAGCGGTGGTCGGGAGACCGGGAAGAGGCCAGGGTGACCACTGTGCACTGGGGGAGACGCGGGCGGGTGGGGGGAGAGACACGGGGCCGGGGCGTGAGACGGGGTCAGGGGTCAGGGCGTGAGACGGGGTCAGGGGTCAGGGCGTGAGACGGGGCCAGGGGTCAGGGCGTGAGACGGGGCCAGGGGTCAGGGCGTGAGACGGGGCCAGGGGTCAGGGCGTGAGACGGGGTCAGGGCGTGAGACGGGGTCAGTGCGTGAGACGGGGTCAGGGGTCAGGGCGTTAGACGGGGTCAGGGCGTGAGACGGGGTCAGGGGGTGAAACGGGGTCATGGCGTGAGACGGGGCCAGGGGGTGAGACGGGGTCAGGGAGACGGGGTCAGGGGCCAGGGCGTGAGACGGGGTCAGGGCGTGAGGCGGGGTCAGGGCGTGATACGGGGTCAGGGCGTGAGACGGGGTCAGGGGTCAGGGCGTGAGACGGGGTCAGGGCGTGATACGGGGTCAGGGCGTGAGACGGGGTCAGGGCGTGAGACGGGGTCAGGGGTCAGGGCGTGAGACGGGGTCAGGGCGTGATACGGGGTCAGGGCGTGAGATGGGGTCAGGGGTCAGGGCGTGAGACGGGGTCAGTGCGTGAGACGGGGTCAGGGGTCAGGGCGTGAGACGAGGCCAGGGAGACGAGAGAGAGAGAGAGAGGCCTTGAGAAGCCAGGCCGACAGGGCAGACAGAGACGGGGGGGGAGACACCGGAGACCCAAGTGGACAGGAGAGAGAGGGCGAGAGGGGGAACAAGAGACGCGAATGTGAGCTGGGCGCTATTCAGCTCATGGGCCACCAATAGTTCAGGTGGTGTGTCTCGTCGATGTCTCTGCACACCCGGCTTGTTGGGAATCTCAGTGCTTGCTGTGGTTGATGGTTGTGGTGGTGGTGGTGATGTAACCGAGCTTGACCCTTTTGGTTGATGTTGTTTGGGTTAAGCGACGATATAGGGTTTAAGTCTGAGTGAGGAAGGGGATGTGTGGGGTGAGGGTCGAGGCCGTGAGGGGTGAGGGTTGAAGTCGTGAGGGTCGAGGCCGTGAGGGGTGAGGTCGTGAGGGTTGAGGTCGTGAGGGGTGAGGGTTGAGGTCGTGAGGGTTGAGGCCGTGATGGGTGAGGGTTGAGGTCGTGAGGGTTGAGGTCGTGAGGGGTGAGTGTTGAGGTCGTGAGGGGTGAAGGTGGAGGCCGTGAGGGGTGAGGGTCGAGGTCGTGAGGGGTGAGGGTCGAGGTCGTGAGGGGTGATGAGTGAGGCCGTGATGAGTGAGGCCGTGAGGGGTGAGGGTGGAGGTCGTGTGTGGTGAGGGTCGAGGTCGTGTGGGGTGAGGGTCGAGGCCGTGAGGGTCGAGGACGTGAGGGGTGAGGGTTGAGGTCGTGAGGGGTGAGGGTTTAACCTGACACCGATGTTCTGTTCCGCGTACCCGTGTGGACCCATCTGCTGTGCTTCTGGCTACTGTCTCTATGAAGTTTTCTGCTGTCAATTCAAATTTCCCTCGCTTGTTTTGGAAGTGACACTTGGACCGCAGCCTGTCAATGTCACTTCGCTGCGGGGTCGTGGCGTGACGTCCACCATCATCAGCAAAACACGGGGAGACCGACAGCTTCTCCAGCACAGCATATTGAGAGGGGAATGGGGTTGTCTTTTGTCTCCAAAGTGCCGGACGTGTACACGCCGCACAAAGTCCCTGTATTGTTGAACTTCTGTCACACCGTACGTGCTAAATCGTAGGTGCGCGACGAAGTTCTCGCGTAAGACCGAGTCGTGATCTGGAGGAGGGCCCGGGACGGCTTCACAAAGCCACCACTTGGTGTGACGTACCCACGGGTTCCACAGAGAGGCACAAAGGGGGCCGTTTTCTATCCGCGCTGTTGCTTCACCCCAGGTCCTTGCTGTGTGCGTGTGTGTGGGAGGCTGCAGTCTCCGGCCCTCCCTGCCGTGTTTTCCCCGTGAGCGAGCGAGCGAGCAGCCCTTCACAGGACGCCCCCCCCACGCTTCTGACGTTCACGCGCAGCTGGTGCCGATAATGGCCACGTGGGGCACGTGGGCGGGCAGCAGCAGCAGCAGCAGCACGAGAGGAAAGGGCACCTTCTTGGTTCTTTCGGTGAAGTCACGTAGAAGGGAAATAATAAAATAATAAAAATGAAACATGATAAAATGCAATTCTCACGACGTTTCGGCCACAACGCAAGCAGCCATCCTCAGGTGAAGAACAGGGCTGTTGGACGCTGTCTTTCCGACAGCCCTGTTCTTCACCTGAGGACGGCTGCTTGCGTTGTGGCCGAAACGTCGTGAGAATTGCATTTTATTACGTTTTATTTGTATTATTTCATTATTTCCCTTCTACGTGACTTTACCGAAAGAACCAAGAAGATGAATCCCTGCAGTCACGAAAGCTTTAAATCGAGAGGAAAGGGCACCTTAGGCTGTGCGTGCGGTGCAATGAGGGCTCTGGCAGGCAGCGGTGTCTCTCACTGCAGCACATCCACCAGCTCACACACAGCAACGAGACGACATCGGCAGGTCATGAAGACTCGCTGGTTGATGGGGCTTTAGAGACGCATTCACGCCAGCCACTTGTACGCGGATGCTCACAGCTGTAACAATGGGAAACGTGGAGAGGAAGAGAGACGCCTTTTGTTTGGCTGGTGTGGTGGTGTGCTCAGAGGCACGTTGCAGGAGGTGACACCTTTGTGTTGCGTGTGATACCCATGTGCATGATATCGTATTTTGTTTTGCATAGCGTGCCTTTTTATTTGGTTGACTAAAGCTTTCGATCACACTTCCACGATTACTACCTTAACCAAGTTTTGTTATAGTACTGGACAGATATGGTGGCTGTAGCCAAACTAATCGTGAAGCACTTGGTTTAAAGGCACCAACAGAAATTTCACCCAGAAGAAAACCCGACAACCTATTGCTGCTGCCTTACTAATTTCTAAGACTTGGAAGGCACCATTCGTGTTATTTGACACAAGCATAGAAGGATATTGTCATTATCTTTTACCTATGCATTAAAGGTCACGTCTCATGGTCTTGCAATGCAGCAACAATCCATCTAGCTCCTGCACACTAGGATATTTAATTGCTCTATCTCTGCAGGTGACGTCCTCTTCGGTGTGTTCTCTCCTTTGGCTGCCACTAACTCGATCTCGACCACTGGCAATCGTCTCTTGTCTCGACGTGTTCTTCAGAGGCCGAATTACTTGTCCCAACTATCAATGTGATGTCTCTAACTTGCATATGTTCTCCGATCCATGAGTTTCTGTTTGTCTCTCGATGTAATTCCAAGCATGCATATCGCCCTGCTTCTTGGCACATTTTTCAGCCTTTGTTTGCTAATGTCCATGTTTTTAAACGATATGGCATTTTCAGGAAACAGACGCTTAAAAAAAACCCCACGCTCTTATCTTATCAAATTGTTTTAAAAACTTCTAGCGCATACTTTGATACACTTATTGTTACATTGTATTTTTTAAGTTGTACTCAAAAGTTTGGAAGTTTCGAGCAGGGCAGCAACTTGAGATGGTATTTTTTGCCTTGACTTGTGTTAAATCTGTGTTGACAGGAGCAAGTGTGCCTTTATATACGTAACAATTGACTTACAAATTGTGTGACCACACTACATATACTATACAATACAATGTGGCTTTATTTAGGTTCTGAATGTGACCGCATCTCAAGGCACCATACAAAAGTGCGACACATTGCATAGGTGATTTCTAAAATCACAATTTCCAAATAATGTTGCACTGCACATTGAAAGAATGTTATGAAAATAACTTTTATGTAGTTACTATAATATAGTTTTAAAAAATGTGTTGTAAGCTTAAAGTAGCAACTAATACTCATTTGTAGGTTTTACAATACTGTACTGATTACATCGATTACGATAGTGTAGACTTCATTCTTTTTAAAATTTCTCAAATCTGATGAACAGAGAAGTTGCTTCATTTAGCCCATTGTTGGTCAGACGATTCGTACGTGAAAGATACGTAGGAGAAGTTTTCAAAATTTGTATATTGTGATGAATGCACATTCGAGTGTGCCACAGATTGCCATGCATATTGTGTGGGTGGCAGTCGTGCGTGCACGCGCTCGTGCGTGCACGCGCTCGTGCGTGCGTGGGTGTACAATTGAATGAATGCAGCAAATGAAAATGAGAACTCTTCTACTTGTTGTAAAGGACCTGGCTGGCTGCCTTTTGGTCCAGATGGAGACGAGGCAGCAGCAGCAGGGCCAGAGTGGGCGAGCGAAGGAGCTCGTGGAAAGAGAAGGAGGCAGGAAGCTGGGTTTATACTCTTTGGTTCTTTCGGTAAAGTCATGTAGGTATCAAATTAAATCACGACGTTTCGGGCGCAACACAAGCGTCGGTCATCAGGTGGGACAACCACAGCAAGAAAGAGGCCATAAAACAGGCCATTGTTGCAGCAGCCCTTTTGCCCACTTCAGCAATTGTTTCTTGCTGTGGTTGTTCCACCTGATGACGGACGCTTGTGTTGGGCCCGAAACGTCGTGATTTAATTAATTTTATTTTATACCTACGTGACTTTACCGAAAGAACCAAAGAGTATGGATCCCTGCAGTCACAAAAACTTCAAATCTCAGCTGGGTTTAGTCCTCAATCCTCCTGCAGCGAGGCTGCCACTCTTGAGTGTCGTGTGTAGCATGTGTACCTACTCTAGTCGATAGTATGTCAAGAAATATGTGGTGTCAATGAGACGATCATCATTATTATCATCATCACACTTGTTTACCCAGGGAAGCCTTACTTGAGTCTCAAGGGTCCTGCCAAGTGTTTGCAGTAGAGGGCGATTAGCTATGTGTAATCCCAATTGAGTACTTGTAGATACATTTTCAGCATTGGGATATTTGGTTATATATGTTGGACTTCTTCCGCACCATCCGTACTAATCGGAGGTGTGGGAGGA